AGGAGAGGTTTAGGCTGGATATTAGGAAAATTCTTCACCCAGAGGGTAGCTGCGCACTGGAACAGCTCCCCAGGGAAATGGTCACAGCACCCGCCTGACAGAGTTCAAGAAGCGATGGGACAACTCTCTCAGGTACATGGTGTGACTCTTGGGGATGGTCCTGTGCTGGGCCAGGAGCTGGACTCGACGATGCCGGCGGGTGCTTTCCAAGTCAGGCTATTCATTGACTCCGTGTGGGAGCTCCCCGCCCTCCGTGTCTCGCTCGGGACGGGGCCCCGCAGCTCCCTCAGAGCCCCCCGGGGCCCGGGCCCGGCCCACGGCCCCGCCTCACCGAGCACGCGCCGCCCGCCCGCCCGGTCACGTGCCCTCCGCCATGGCCGGCGCGCAGGGGGATGGCGGCGGCAGCGGGAGCGCTGTCCCCTTCCGTCCGTACATCTGCTCCTTCCCCGGCTGCGACGCCACCTTCAACAAGGCCTGGCGGCTGTCCGCCCACCTCTGCCGGCACACGGGCGAGGTGAGCCGCGCCGGCTGGCAGGGAGGGAGGGGTCTGTGTGACCGAGGGTGGGCGCCGCGCTGGGACCCCGCGGGGACCGGGCAGGCCGCGTCACCTCCTCGGGTGGGCCACAACACCCGGCGGCTGCGAGCTGTGGCCGGGGCATCCCGCTGACGGCGGCCCAGCCCCTGGAACAGCTCCTCTCTTTCAGAGGCCGTATGTTTGCGATTATGAAGGCTGCGGCAAAGGGTTCACGAGGGACTTCCACCGCGCCCGACACCTCCTCACGCACACCGGGGAAAAGCCTTTCGAGTAAGGCCCACGATTTTACTTCTTAAGCAGGGCGGTGGTACAGGGCATGCATGCCTTTGGTGTCATGGGCACTGCCATAACTGTGTGGGATCAAACCTTGACCCTCTTCTGACAGTGATCTGTAACAGATATTTAAAGGAATGGGTAAATCTCCCCCAAGAATACATTATTAAAAAGCTAACTTAGGCTCTTGGCTTTTAGTGTCTTCAAAGCAAACTTCTGTATTTGAGTTGTGGGTTTCAGTAATTCTTGTGTGTTTTTCTTGTACAGTGATTTCTGTATCTGCCTAGGGAACAAGTCACTGACAGCAGTAATAAAAAATGCAGTTCATTTGCAGGTGCACAGCTGATGGGTGCAATGAGAAATTTGGAACAAAATCAAACATGAAGAAGCATCTTGAGCGCAAGCATCAAAATCAGCAAAAGCAATATGTGGTGAGTAATTACCTTTGTACTGTACAGTGGAGGCTTGTGGTACTTGTATAAGTTCAAATACCGTGACTGGAATATCAGCAAGCCCGTGAACTGAACTGTTATTATTTGGCCTCTAATGATAACTTAATTTCCTCAATAGTGTGACTTTGAAGGCTGTAACAAGTCTTTCAAGAAGCATCAGCAACTTAAAGTTCATCAGTGTCACCACACCAATGAACCTCCCTTCAAGTACGTGGATAATTTTAATACTTTAATACTTTAACACTTAAACACTGTAGATGAAAATAGGTGCATTTTCTCAGCCTTTTCATTGATGTGGCAGTAAAAAAAAAAAATCAGTTTGTAGTCAGAGCTGCAAGTGTATTTCTTATACTAGTTCTTTGCTCAGTGATCTGTTTTGATCAACAATCTTGGTGCTCTGTAACTTCAGCATTCCAGCAGTTTTATACAAAAATAACACAACACCCCTCTACCCCCTAGTTTTTAGTTCATAGTTTGAAATACAAGCATAAGAGCTTGCACAGTAATGAAAAATGCAGCTTTGTTTATGTAAGAAGCAGTGACTTGGCTGACATTGATGTGAGTAGTACCTAGAAAAAGGGGAGAGACTTGGACACTAATCTTGGAAGCTGTGCATTGCAACTCCATTTGGGTAACATATCACTGTTACTACAGATCTGCTAAAATCAAAGTTCAGTCTTGTATTTCTTACAGGTGGGTCATACTTAATGAGTGTTCATTCCAGTTCAGTGAAAATGCCCTACTATGGTTGGATGATAGACAGAAATGTCAGTGCTCTGCTGGTTCTGTACAAGCCACTTAAACCTTCCACTTTCTGTCCTTCTTTTATGTTTGGAGAGCCTCTGTGTAGGGATGATACAAGGCTTGACTCTTCAGCTAAAGCTCACCTTGCTGTATATTTGGAAATCACATTATAGTTCTAACTGTCAAAGTCATCCAAGTTGATTAAAAAAACTAATACGGAATTTACTCTTACAAGGTAGGGGGTACAGATACACAGATCTGTAGGCAAAGGGAAACTTGGATTATTTTGTTCATTTTAGTTGTTCTTGACATGACAAAAAATACATAGATACGGTGAAAGAAATTAAACCACTGCTGTTTTGTACCTAGATGTAATAAAGAAGGATGTGGAAAGTGTTTCTCTACTCCAAGTCGACTAAAGCGGCATGAGAAGATACATGAAGGTAAAAGTGGTTTTGCTTTTTAAGTTATGTTTCAGCAAAGGAAAAAGGACTGCTTCCAGTGCTGAGTATGCATGGAATGCATGACAGATCTGGAAGTGTTCTGGGCCTAATGATCCAGACAAGACAAGAACACCTGTTTTGAATAGTGAAGTGGGATATAACTGTGGGGCATTGCAGTGTTCAGGTATGGTGTGTTTGTGGCAGTCTGAGCAGAGCTCAGGATTCCTTCAGGAGTTATTTCTTCTCTTGAGGTGCTTCTTTGCAAATAATGCATCTTTTGGAGATGGGCTGATGGTTAAGGGATTAGCCTAGACGTCCAGAGCTTAGGATCAGTTGCCAATTCTGCTACAAATTTCCTATGGAGCCTTGGCAGAACCACGTATATTTTTAGTTATTAATGAACCTATGTGAGAGGCTTTTAAGTGAAGTCATCATGATGTGACCATATATGTTTGAGCTAATCCTGCTGCCCTCCTATCCATTCTTTCACTGAGAGATAACCAGCTTTCCAGTGATAGAAAAAAACTAAATTAAACCCAACAGACTAGGAAGAGTACCCAGAAGGCTGTGATTTGTACTGTGATTGCCTTTTTTTAAGACAATGCTTGTTCGTTGGTTTTTGAGCATTCCAGTCCTGGATTTAAATTGACTTTCTGTGGTTCCTGCTTGCGTGATAGAATGGCAGAATCTCTTTAGACTCTGGAATATTACTGTATGGTTAGTATTTATTTTTATTATGCAGGACAAATATTTATATAGAAGTAATAATATGCTACTAAGTAATATATGCTTCATCTATTTGAGAGAAAGTGTATGGCTGGGAGGAAGTAGCTTTACTGAAACAAGGAGAGGGAGTTTCATAAAATCATGTAGGTCAGAAAGGATCTCAGGAGGTCATCTGGTCCAGCTCCCTGCTCAAGGCAGGGCCAGTTACATCAGGTTGTTGAGGACTGCATCCAGTGGTGTGGAATGGTTCCAGGGGTAGGGCTTCCACATCCTCTTTGAACAACTGGTGTCAGTGATACAAGGTTTCTTACTTAAAACTGTTAGGATATTCTCTTGCTCTGAATTTTGTTGATTGTTCATTGTCTCTTATCCTAATCCTGTGCAGTATGGGAGGAGACAAGGAATAACTGGCTTTGATTTTCAAATGCTAGAAGTGTGGAGTTCCCGCTTGTAAAACTGGACTGTTTGCCAGACCCTTTGTGATTGTAAACATCTGTCCGGTCCAACAGGCTATGCATGCAAGAAGGAAAACTGCTCATATATCGGAAAAACTTGGACAGAGCTGCTGAAGCATAATAAAGTCAGTCATACAGGTAAATTCAAATGCTTTAGTAAACTTGTGATACAAATAGGAAACCAGATGCTGATCTGAAGAGGAGGCCTTGCTGTACTCATTTCATCAGCTTTTGTGTCCCAAGCTTGTCTAACTTTATTGGTACAGTGGCTTGCACTCCAGCTAGACCTTTGATGAAAATGCTGCTCAATATACTATCTTAACTTTGTGATGCAGTTAACAAAAATTGTTTTATGTAGGATTTCAGATCTGGATAATTCATAGTGCATTATCCTCCTGAAGTGTCTCAGCTCCTTACATTTCCTGTTGATTTTAGCATTGTTCTAATAGATCACTAGGCTTTGATTCGGAGCTTCTGTAAGAAATTGTTAATTTATACTCTGCCTTTGTTTCTCCTACTTAGAGCCAATAGTTTGCAGTGAATGTAACAAAACTTTTAAACGGAAGGATTACCTCAAGCAGCATCAAAAAACACATGCTGTGGAGAGAGAAGTCTGCCGCTGTCCCAGAGAAGGATGTGGAAGAACTTACACAACTTTATTTAACCTTCAAAGCCATATCCTCTCTTTTCATGAGGAGAAGAAACCCTTCTCTTGTGATTATCCAGGCTGTGGAAAAGTGTTTGCAATGAAGGTATTTTTTTTTAACTGTTCTTAACTGAACCTCATTATCTGAAATGATAAACTTAACTCCTTTTTTTTCTCTTCCCTGATCTTTGTAACTGTAGCAGAGCCTAGCAAGGCATGCAGTTGTACATGATCCCGAGAAGAGAAAGCTTAACTTGAAAGTAAGTTAAACTCTTGGAAAAGTCTTCTCACCCCAACCCTATCACTGCAGAGGAGGGTAAACATTACCTGTTTTAGAACGTGACTTCAAGCAGGAAAACAGGTCAAATACCTAGGTAATTTGTGAGATTCTTAATATATGAAGCTCCTTTAGCTAATGCAGTCCTAGCCTGTACAGTGATTTCTTTTTTCCCCACCACAACAGTAGTCTTTGCTCCACAGATAGGTTAAATTTACTAATTCTGGATCTGTTTCTGCCAGGCAAAGCGTTCTCGTCCCAAGAGGAGCTTAGCCTCTCGTCTCAGTGGCTACATTCCTCCTAAAACGCAAAAGGAAAGGAAGGAGGAAGGAAAGGATGAGGTTGTGATGAAAAGCAAGACGGTGGATAAGCTTGTGGAAAATGGAATACCAGCTGTTGAAATTCGGACTCTGTAGCAAAGGTTAACCTAGACAGTGTTCTTCATGGAATGACCAGTACAGAACTCAACAATAACTTTAACTAAAATTAATATTTTTTATTTTTTAAATAAATATATTGTTTACACCGCTTCAGAAGGTCACTGATGTAACTCATTTGACTTCAGATCTTTGTTTTCATCTTTCTTTACTGTATTGTTTTTCTTGATTTCCATCTTCTGGTGTTCTTTCAACTCTTTGTCAGACATGTGCCTCAAAATACAGGTACTCACTCCTTCTCTAGCAACTTTTGGCTTGGAAAGATAAGTGGCTTTCTCAGACACAGTCTCCAAAATTTGATCAAAAAGCATGAACTAAAAAGGAGGAGAAAAATGGAACTAAATGAATGCATAAATACAGGCAGAAAATATTTCAAGCTGCCCTATAATAAAATGATCTGCTTAGTTTAGCTATTAGCTGAAACAAGCACTTCAGTTTGTCCTTTCCTAACTGTTCTTTACTCATGAGCAGGTTTAGGCAAGTCACTAGAGCAGGATTCAGCCATTTCCTAACATTTAGGCTGTACTGCTGACTCACAGTGTTTTGCTCTTTAAGGGTGTCCATGAGAGTGGTCTGCATCTGACTCCTCTCCACCCTCCTCTTCCTCTAGATTCAGATACACTATTATATGAGGCTTTTTTCCTAAGGGGTAGTATTGTTCTAAGATTAGCAGGGCCTGGTAGTATTGAACTGAGTGGTAACTGCATTCATGTAACACACTGAATTCCTAACTTCATTATTAAGCCTTTTAAGGACAATGTAAAGCAGGGTTATGTCATGAAATGTTCTGTTCCCTCCCATAATCAGTTTTTCCTGTCACCCTTTCCCTGTGAGTTTAACTTCCTATAAAAAGTTTTGTTCTTTCTGGATGGAGTACTATCACAATTTTCTCCAGCAATTTAGAGGAAATTATCAGGGAAACTTAATTCACTACAGACATTACAAGGAAAAAAAAAGTCTTACGCAGAATATCTAGAAAAAATCCATTTGTGTGAATGACAGTGAAGTCTCAAGGCCCTGCAGTTATACTAGGAAGTTGCCATCAGCTCCTTAACATTTTTAGAGATGTTCACTTTGCTAGTCTTGGAACACCAATAGTTTTTCATGTAGGAGTGGACAACTAATCTTAGCAAAAGTAGCACAAGTGCAGCTCCAGAAGAAGAGTTTGTGAAATAATCCAGCTAAAATACAATTTTCTTTTGAACCTCACTTAAAAGTTTTTAGTGGGTGAGCAGGAGCAGCTTAAGGCAGGCAACCACTACTTGCACAGGACCTAGATCTCCACTGACATACCAAAAATTGTGGCAGTACCAAATAGGGAAGGTCAGTACAGCAGCAGCTGTTTAATGACATTGACTGGTCCAGCTTTCAGGAGTACACTTACCATGTCTGTACTGCTACCTTTTGCTTGCCGGATGGTAACTTTAACATGGTGTCTCTTTTCAATCCACTGTGCTATCTGTTTAGTCTTGGTCTCTAAGTCGTTCTTGGCAATAGCTGAAGAAAAGGATAACTCCTTCTGAACCACTCCTGTTTAAAACAGAACTGAAACTGTATTGGCTTAACATTTGACAAACCTGTACTAATTACTCTCTTTTATCAGCTTATGGTGCTTTGTCTGCTCGACTCCCTCCTCCCATGCTGCTTTCTCAGAACACCCCGATCTCATTGTCTCAGCATGCACCACACTCACCTTAGAGGGTGGCTACTGATACTCACTGCCCTAACTGGGAGACTGAATGCATGTTTGAGGCACACAGGGAAATCTTTTCAGGGTCAGAAGGCTTAAAGTATTTTTAATTACAGTCTTGTTCATATGATCTACAATGTAGGTCTAGCAAACAGGTAAGCATTGGATCTGGAATTAAAGACTTAGTGTGCAAATTCCTGTGTTCTGCACATAGGACAGCTGAAGGTAAAAGCTTTGACGTTAGACAGCTCTTCATCTCAAGCCCACTTTATTGAACGGTGAAGTGCAATATTGAACTGGAAGTACAACGATGCCTTGTCATATATTTGAACAATCTACAGTCTCTTCCTCCTTCCAGCCTCTCTAAAGCAGTTACCATCTGAATAGTATTTTTGTGGTTTCTTGAACAGAGCAACTCATTACCACAATAATGCCCCCCTGTAAAATCAGAACTCTACCCACAGCACAGCTATCTTCGTGAGCCTGAGGATATGAGAGGATACAAGGTCATGCCTTTTCTAAAACCTCTTTGCCAAACTCAGTTTGTTAAACTGCTGGAGCAGGCAGTATTAAGAAAAAAAAAACAAAAACTGAAAAGTGTTCAATATTGAAAAGGTTCTCTTACTCTGTGCAAGAAAGGGCTCCAGACTTTGTCTTCTTAGCAGCAAATGAGGAAGAGAGTGTTTCATGACTACTGGTGACAAGCCATATAATTATATCGGTGTATCTGGTCTTTAGTTTGTAAAAACTGCCTGTCACTCTATGCCTTAGTAAAAAGAACAGAAATTCAATAAGTCTTATGGAACCAGAGCCTAGTTATATTCATTCAAATAAAGGTTTTTTTAACAAGTCAGTAGATGCCAAAATAGCAAATCCTGAGAAGGCAATAGAAGGCTTCTCTGTGGAAGACTGGACTAATCCAAAATTTTATTTTCACCACTGTAAATCCTTAATAGCGTGGACTGCAATGACATTGCTTTGGATTTACACAAATACAAGTAAGAGGATTTAATCTGCTGAAACCACTTTTAATGCAGCATTTTTCAAAGTCCTCAGTATTGTACTGTTTACAGTGCACATACCTGGCTTTGGACTTGATTTTTTCTTCTCTGCACGTTTAAGCTGTTCTTCATGAATCTGCTGTCCAGTCATTAGTCTGTAAACTGGAGGTTCTACATTCTCACGAAGCAGAACCAGTTTCAGGCCACGTTCATCCATAAGTCTGAGTGCATCTGCTCGGTGCATGTTTCCTAAGCTCTCCCCATCCTGGCTGATTACGTGCAAAATACGATAGGGAATTCTTCGCCCAACACTTCCAAATGCTGCTTTACTTTTTGGTTGTGCACGAGATTTTTCATCTGTACAAAATGGCTGAGTAAGCTCAAACACAGCTGACTTCCTAGAGTCAGGTACCACTATCCAGAATGGAGAAAAGAGCCACTTTTGTGTTGACTGTGTCAGAAGAGTACCAAAGAACCTTTTTGCATATCTGTTCTCATTTCTGGTTGCTTGACATAAATGTTTCATTGTGCACAAGGCAGTCATTCTGAGGAAGAAGAAAAAACAAGTTACCCATCAGTCATATTCTTACATTAGAAAGACTTGACTCCATTTCAGTAAACCTGTGTTTGTAACTACTCTTTTAAAATGATATATGGTGCTACTATAAGGAATGAGCAATTAACAGTCATTTTACAGTAACAAAGGGATTTAACCCAGAGAGAAAATCTGACAAAAAAGCAAAATGTACGAGTTGATGTTACCTTCAGTATCTTAAAATCTGAGCCTGAGCTACTTCAAAGAATCAAATACTTCTAGTTCCTTTCTCCACAGTTTCAAATTTAAATCTAAATAGTTACAGGCATATACCCTGACACAGTGCTCACAAAGCTATAAACATCCAAACATGCTTCAAAATATACCCTTGCTTGAAGACTACTGAAACTCATCTTTGAGACACTTCTTCCACTGGACTTTTTTCCCATTCTTCCCCGGTTCATGAAATCCCCCTGGCAATTTTGGTGCAACTGACCATTATTAGCATTTTGTTCAGACCTTCAGAAATCGTCTGTTTTCTAACAGCTGCAAAAAACTTTGGAAATAAAGAGCAAACTGTGAGTACTCTCTGTGGTTTTCCTATTTTACGTTTAAAAGGGAGCCATTACAGGAAAAGCCAAGGATGATGCAGGAAACCAAACACATGTCATACCAGAGGAGTTGGCAAGAGTGAGACCTCTTTTGCCCAGGAGGGAATGTGACTCTGCTCTATAAATACATTCATGCATAGACATCTATGACACTGTGTAAACATGCATCCATGTGCATACATACACATGGGAAAGGTGTAAACCATCAACAAGGATAAAAAGCTATTTATAATTCTAAGCAGTGTTGGCACAGGAACAAATAAAATGACTTGCCTGTGAATAACTTATTCTGAAAATGGGACAGTCTGGAGCTTGGGATGGACTTCATACCTCAGCAGTAGGGACAATGTCCATGCAGACTGCTTCAAGAAGGAACCAGATGAGTTCATGAACAGGGCAGTCTGATAAGAGCTGGATCCAGAGTTCAAGCCAGGGCACAGAAGTAACAGGATTTCCACAGCAGGCTAAGACCAGCTGGTAGTGCTACTGTCCCTTCCTGCCCTGGGCTCTGCCACTGCCCACTCCAGACCCCTGTGAAAACAGCTTTTTGTCTGGCTGTGACAACAGCACTATGACTGAACACCCACTGCCAACAGCCAAGTATCTTTGTATATCATCAGTGCAACAAAAACTGCGATGTCCTTATTTTTTATTAATGGTTTCACAAACCAGCTCTGGATCATGCACTGCAGGCTTGGTCCGCAATCTGAGCATCGCTGCTCCATTACTGAATGACATAATTAAATTTATCTTCCATTCAGAGGAGCCTGGCTTGCCTTTGAGAGCTACTGATTTATAAATCAGTAGTTTATTTTAAAGAAATATTGATAAGGAGCGGGCAGCTCCGGCCGTACTGGGAGCCGCGGGAGCAGCCGCGCTTCCCGTGCTGGGCGGCTGTCACAGGAGCGGGGCTGCGTCCCGTGGGTGTCCCTGCTACAAACAGGGAAGAAAGAAAGGCTGTAGGTGGGTGTGTGACCGTGCCCTGTCGTGGCCGCATTCCTGGCTGCGCCTGCCTGTGCCGTGCCCGTGTGCGTGGCTCCCTGTGACCCTCTCTTACCTGCCGGCCGGGCCGGACCGAGCCGAGCCGAACCGCCGGCCCCGGCCCGCCGAATCAGCCGAGGGACCAGCCCGCGCAGCCGGGAAGTTGCGGAACGCCCCGCCTCTCCCCTTTCCTTTTCCTCCCGCTCCTCCTCTTCCTCTTCCTGCGACCGCGCCTCTGGTCCTTGTCCCCGCCCGCGCGTGCCCCTGGGTGTGGGGCTGCGGGCGGAGTCCCTGTGTCCCGATGTCCCGGTGCCCCCGTTCCCGGTCCCTGCGGGCTCCCGCATTTCCAGGCCGGCACACGTGTCGTGCCCGGTGCTGTGTGCGCGGCTGTCGGGAGCTGCTGTTGCCCTGCCTCGCTGTGTGGGCTCCCGGTGTGCCTTTGCTGCGCTGCCGTGCGTGTGGGGGCCGCAGCCGGGACACGGTCCGCACTGCGCCCAGGGACCATCCCAGCAGGATTTGTTGCTGCGAGCGGGGATTGTGTGGACGCTGAGTGCTTTGTGTGTGTGTTGAGGCATAGAATCATAGAATTTGGGTTTGGTTTGGAAAGGATTTTCAAAGCTTGCCTACTCTCATCCATCTCCAATAAGAACGAGAGCAGAACGCCTTCAACTCGATCAGGTTGCTCAGAGCCCTGTGTGTCCTGACCTCGAATGTTTCCTGGTATGGGGGGCATCCACCACCCCTCTGGGCAACCTGTGACAGTGTTTCACCACTTTCCCTGTAAAAACTTCTTCCTACCTCTAGTCTAGATGTACCCTCTTTTAGTTTAAAACCATAACCCCTTGTCCTGTCACTGCAGGCCGTGCCATAAAGTCCGTTCCCGGCACTGTGAGGTCTCCCCGCACACCTCTCTTCTCCAGACGGAGCAGCCCCAGCTCTCTCAGCCTGTCTCCATAGGAGAGGTGCTCCAGCCCTCAGAGGATCTTGGTGCCCCTCCTCCGGACTGGCTCCAGCGAGTCCGTACCCCTGTCCCTGTCCCTGTCCCTGTCGCCAGCCGGGACTGCGAGCAGCGCAGGCTGAGCTGGGGCTGCAGGGGTCAGCAGCGTGTGCGGCTCTGCAGCGGCCCCAGTAAGTCCGAAGGCGTCTCGGATGCTTGGATTTGTTGCCTTCTTTGGTAGGAGAGGCTCTGCCTCGGGTTTGCGACCTCGTCTGTCCAGTTTGGAGACAGGAACCTTTGAAAGAGAAGCTGAAATTCATTTGCAGTGAGTTTCCCCAGCTGTAAGGAGCACACTAAGGCAGCCAGCCACTGAACAGCACGGGAGTTTGCTGAGGACCTCTTTCCTGAGCCCAGGGATTCACCTCTATCGAGGGATGCTGTTTAGCCATCCAAGCAGGAGCTGGAACAACACTCAGACTGAAAGTGTGCTTGTGTTCAGAATTTAGTACAAAGTGAAACAGCTGTCCTTCCGGCCTAAAAACAATCAGAACATTTTAGCTTATAGGCTTTAGGCCACAGCTAAGTGACCCTTCTTTCCTCTCCCCCTCTTCTGTCCAGGAAGAAGAAATACAATGGAAACCTGACCTTTATGCTTTTGGGTTGAAAGCTTTCTGTGCTTAACTGTGGTCTTAGAATGGTTTCATTTCATGTGTTTGCTGCTTTTGTTTGTCATTGTGGTACATACATGTAAAAAAAGGTCTTCCATTACCATGTCTTCTTCACAGAAGACATCATGTGGTAAGCATCTGCAAACCCAGAAAACTTTACTAAATCAGTTCACAATATGAAGTTCATATCACCTTATCCTCATTAGAAGTCCTTGCTGGTAGTAATGAAATTGGAAGAATGCCAGTAACAGAATTAGCCAAATAGATGGTGAGCTAAGACCCTGAATGACAACTGTAGCTTCTCCTATTATATGCAAATAGGGCCGAATTTTTCCATCCTGCTCTTTTGTGTTTTTTTTTTTAAATTTCACTCAAGCTCTATGCCTTTAGAGTTGTAAGCTCTTTGGGAGCACGAATTACCATCACATACAGCAGTAGAATGCCTAAGAAAACTGGATCTCAGTTTGAGGCTATTGAAACATAAATTATTGAAATGCTACAGTATCCAGTTGTGGAGAGTGAAATATTCCACAATAAGAAAAGGCGAGACAAAAAAAGGTTTTAACTGCTCTCTTCATGGTCTGGAAATCAAGTGTGGAATTTGAATAAGCATGAAGGGAAATTTTGGCAGAGCTGAAGCCTGAAGAGATACTTTTTTCATCATGGGCTCTGCAATATGCATTAGAAGAGAGCGTGTCAGCAGCCCCCTTGCAGTTAGCGACTATTGCCACTCTGAAAACCATCCCCACAAGACAGATAATTTTCAGCACTGTTAGTAGCAGCAATAAAGCTAATAATCCTTTTCACTGTGATAAAAACTACCTGCATGAAAGCAAGGTACTTCAAAGCATGCAACTTGCATTCCTTCTCTCTTCGTGTTGTTTAATTCTGTTAGGTTTAAACCTGATGCTTGTTTTACTTCGTGCCTTTCTAATTAAATACAATATGCCAAGAAATAGTGCAGCCTTCTAATGCTGTTTGTCCTCAATTAAATTGATCTTTCTGAGGGTTCATTGTACTCTTTCTCCTCATTCTTTGTCTCATGTCTGTTTACACTGTAATTGTCCTGGGGCCATTTTTTAATATGTGCCTGCCACAGTGAGACTGCAGTCTTAATTATTTGAAAGATACTATCATAAGAAGTGCAGTTAATAATAACGTTCTTCCTTCTACTTTGCCTGATGCACATCATCTTCTGCCCACCCCTGACAATACACTCAGTCATATATTTGCTTTTTAATTCTTAAATCTTCATCTGCCTTTTTTTATATGACATTTACTTACAAAATTGTTTTCACGTTGTTATTTTTTTGTGCTATATTAAGGCCTGTTCTGCTAGACCTTGTGCCAAGCTGTAGATATTTCATTCTCCAGATAATTTTAGATGCAAATATATGAGAAGGGGAAAGGATGGATGGATGGAGAGATTTCTGATCCTTGTACATGAGCAGTGCAGTGATCTGCTGTCATGGATGCTATTAATGTTGGTAATTATTGTGAGGCTCAAGATGCTACTGAGAAACTTCTTCCACATTAACAACTGATCTCTGGGGGATGGTTTCAGTACTCCCTGAGGACGTTGGAAACTGGTTCCAGCCCTTCTGTGTTTTGGGCTAATTTCAAAATCAAAGAATCATACAATCATCCAAGTTGGAAGATACCTTCAATATCATCTAGTTTAGCCATCAACCCAGCACCAGCATAGTCTCCTCTTAAAATCTTCCCCCAAGGCTGTTCATTATGGGTACAGTGAGAGCAGTTTGCAATGCTCAGCAGAGAGTGAGGATGCCTGTGTGTTCACCTAGAGACCCGAGGCTATGGTTTACTGTCATTCAGATTTCATCACTCACTTTGTGGGAGCAGGAAGCAAGGTGCTGAAGTGCCTTACACCTGCAAAGAGCTCTTACCTGCTGGCTCTGGGTAGAGGACTGTTCTTTCCTTGGTGAATATCTTGCTGCTTCCTAAACTGGAGCTGTGCTTACAAATATCTGGTAAAAAAAAATTGAGTGCAAACAAGATTAGGAATTTATGACTGATATTTTTGGGTTTATGCAATGCCTCGGACCCTTGGACATGGAGCAGTGAGTGGGACAGCAGGTTTTTCCACTCTTATTACTAAATCTATGATTAGTCTCCTGCACACTTGTGCTTACAAAAGTACTGAGCCTCTGGAGGGCTGCTTACCCTATGCACCTCTGTTTTCCTGTTTTTTCTGTATAATTCCCTCTTTCACAGGGTGTTTCAGCAGGGAAGCTTTGGGGAAGACTTGGAGAGAGTCTCTTACTCCTCCCCACTCCCCAGTCCTGCTGGCAGCTGGCATGGCCCCCCTCCACCTTCCTGCTGGTTATAATCGTGGCTGTGTGTTTCTGCAGACCCCTGGTTCAGAGAGGGGCCATAGCCTCCCCTTTACACTCTTAGTGCTCCTTTTCCCGTTTGTGTTTATGAAAGACTTTTGCACATAACTCAGATGAAAATCTCCCTTGTGCTGAGCTGAGCATTGCCATATGGCAGAGAACACGTCAGAGTAAACATGTATTTAAAGGACACAGAAATTCTGGATGTGTAGTAGGTCCATATTTCTGGATCTGCAGTAGCTCATTTACTCCTTTTCCATCCACAGCTTTTGAAAATTTCTTCCTACACAAACTTCTCTATTTTTATTCTATCAAGACAGCAAAAAATTAAAGCAAACCGCAAAATTTTGTTGTAGTGAGTGGTAAATGGTCACTGCCAACTGATGCCTTGCACGGAACATACAAATATAGTTGAAACAGAGAAAGTTTTGTATCATTTCTGAGATCTGCTCCTGTTGTGGGAATTAAAACAAATCTTTTAAAGATGCATGCTCTGCCATTAAATTGCTTGGGCTGAATTACTGAACCCAGGCAAAGAACCAATTTTGCTCCCTGAAAAGCAAGCTGACTGAATTTGTTAAAATGTTAATCATAGAGCAAGCCTGTGGGTCCCTGGGGCGAGATGCAATTAGAGTTAAAAGTTCACAGTATAGAAAGATTTTTAACTGTCTAGTTTTACATCTTGACTGTAGGGAGAGGAGTTTCCACTGTACATTGAAGACATTGTTCTACAGCTTTTGCAAGTTGTTGGGTTCAGCTGCGAAGATTTTAAAAGCTGCTTTTGTTGGCAGCCTAGGACACATCCGTGACCTTATTAAAGTGGAAGTGAAAGCTCTCTTCTTTTTTTTTTTTTTTTTTTTTTTTTTTTTTTTGCAACAGTAAAT